GTTTCGCGAAATAGTCTTGTTGAATATTATTCGGCACCAATTATTGTTGGCTAAATGTTCTTCTGGTTTAGTTCAAATTTAACGCTTTCTGACAACTTCACTCATGGCAATCATTTAACAAATGTCATTTGCCAAAGTTGCCAAGCAACACACTTATATGTCAGTTTTAACTTCAAAATTTTCTCTCTTGTAATTTAACATTCGACAAAACATTTTCCGAATTACATATCTGTAATTCCAAAAGAGTAATAAAAAGTGTAAGAACTATGAGCGTTTCAGCAACAGAAAATGGCCGTACCTTGCTTGAAAAGCTATGAACTGCGAACACCAATTTGGACGTGATATTTCACTTTTCGAATGTTTGTACATTTCTCTGAAAGATCGACGTGATGAATGTCAGTATTTCGCCGACCATTTTACGTCTCCTTGGAAAATAAAGTGGTAACCATAGACAAACTTTGTTAGTTGCATAGGAAATTTGTGAAACTACGTAGTCGTCTGGGCGTTACTAACGTATCAAACAAGATTGTTTTGTTAACTTCAAAATTTTAGTTTGACCTTTCAGAGAATTTTATTCCGAAATTATGGCATGTAGAAACGTAGACGTAGAAAGAAGGGCACAAACGTAATCTGCAAAAGACGAAAAAACTCCCGCTTTTCAAAAAATCCTTTTTTAAATTTTTTACAAGAGCTGCGTAAGAAATACCCACGTGGCTTTCATGCAAGCTGACGCTCGAAGGAGCTCGCCGGTGATGCAACATGAGTGAATGTCGCAGAAGAAAGTACCAGTGCAGAGCATACAAGGCCGGAAGGGCTGCTAAACCTTTTCGAACTAGGTGCAAACTGGCAGAAGAAAGCTCAGATGTAAGCTACAGAAAGACGACGCAAATGCAAACGAAAATAAAGAGGCGTACTTGTAAAAGGAAAAAGAAGGAGGCGCAGACGAAGTTGTTCGAGAAGGAAGAAGAACTAGGTGCAAGACTGGCAGAAGAAAGCTCAGATGTAAGTTACAGAAGAGACGACGCAAATGCAAACGGAAAATAAAGAGGCGTACTTGCAAACGAAGAAAAAGAAGGATGCGCAGACGAAGTTGTTCAAGGAAGAGGAAGCGGGTGTGCTGAAGGAAAAGAACTGCTTTTCCTTCTGCACACCCGCTTCCTCTTCCTTGAACAACTTCGTCTGCGCATCCTTCCTTTTCTTCGCCCTAATCAGTCTCAGACATCGGTCGTATCGCAAGAAGCTTCTGAAGCTAATAGAGAGTCTGTAACAATGCTGGAATGACGTCACACTCTCAAAATTTTACATGTGATTATACTTTTATAGATTTTTATATTATACAAAACCTTTTTTATCTATGCTGTTTGATTCAAAAAGAAACTGTTGGGAATGTAATTTAGTGGCACAGATACATACATTTCTCTGAAAGCATAAAAGCAAATGCCCAAATACCTTTTTGAACTAAAATACAGAACGATAGTAGAAACATCCGGCAACGCACGAGGTTCTTAGATTTCAACAAACAGTATTCCACAGTGAAGGTCAAGTGAAGCATCAATTCCTGTTTGTGTGTCCTTCCCGTTATTTTCATCGCTTCTCCAGAACACTCTAATACGTAAGCCCCGTTTTTGGGTGTCATTTTGTAACGGATGTTACAAATACCTCTTCTACTCCATCCTACCTCTGGCTAATCTTCGCATACCTTAATTAAATTACGGGTGGTTCTTGTTATGGAATTATGTATAATGTGCGCCCGATAGCTATCAGTTAGTAATTCTCTCCTGGCCTCTTAAGGAAAAAGGTAAAGGGATAAATAATAAGTCAATAATCTTTATTAAATTATGAAACGGTTCTTATTTTCTTTAAGGTATGTTCTTGCTGCAATAGAATAACATAATTAGTAAATGGGGTTTGAAGCGTAACAATCCTGTACAGCAAATAGTTAAGAAACATTGATTCGCAAAACATACTTCGCATCGATTGTTCCTAAATACCTTTATCGTTTGTGCACCACCAGTTCTAGACGAGTTCGGGTCACGGCTTTCACTCACAAGGAGAGTTATCTTGCATCCAGCTGTACTATGCACGGACCGACTATAGACCTCCCGCCGTTGTTAGGAACGCCAGGGAAGGACCCCACTACCAGCAAACGCCCCATTCGCCGCAACGCCGGACGCCTCGACGAATTGTTAATAAGCACCACCAAGGGCCAGCAAAAACCACTTGTGCCTGGGCAAGCCTACCTTCCCTACATAAGCAACTGAGGCTGGTCGCTTTGGCTCAAGACGTCGCCACCGCATGTCATCACGTCCCGGCTCTGACCTAACCCCGTTCGTCAGGATCGGCGCTATCCGTGTTGAAACTATTAGAGCAATAAACTGAAAACATGTATATTGTATAATTATGACAGATGAACTAAATATTTTTTTATCGTATCATAGTTACAATAAATTGAATAGGTAACTATATTTATTTTAACATTCCCTCCTAAATCTTTAGTTTATCGTTAAAATGTCACCTAATTGATTCTCACTAGTAGGGTGTTTCACTGATAAGACTTTCTCTTCAACTTTCTTTTTGAATTTAAATGTCCACCGATTTGTAATGGCTTTTCGGTTTTGTGGTAAATTAACCAAAATCCAAGTGTGGTTTTCTATCAGTAATTGCATTTCTTCCTTCATTGCTCGTTTCCAATATCTACTTTCTGGTGATTGAATTACCTCTTGATAGGACTTTGGTTCATCCACTTCAGCAGTCATTGTTTCAATTAATCGTTTTGTGCAATGAAGATTTCTTCGATTTCTAAAGTTATATCTCGTTACTGGTGACATGCAATACAGCAAGACAGATGTGGATAAAACTTCATAGTATATTTGAGCAACAGACCAAACAAGCTGCTCATGTAGTACAGGCGGAGTTCTTTAGTTTTACAATGAATGAGAAAGATGATATGGTAACTCATATCTCAAAGTTCGAAACTCTTATCTTGAAAATGAATGCACTGAATGTGAAACAAGATGACATGTCTTTAGTAGTAAAACTTTTGGATACGCTACCAGATAATTATGATAACTTACGGCAGGCATGGTGGGCCAGACCAGACGAACAAACAAACCTGGTGAATGTACTAACATCCGAAGAATCGCGAAGAAAACAAAGACATCTACAAAGCGAGGCATCAGAAGAAAGTACAGGAGCACTACTAGCTGGTCGATATAGGAGAAAATCACAACATAAAAAGAATACTACAAAAGGTGTAACTACAAAGAAAACGTTTACTTGTTATGGTTGCGGAGGCAAGAATCACATAAAACGAAATTGTCCCAATCGTAAACAGAAGTTTTACAACGAGGAATCTGGAGAAAACGCTTTCATTACGGAAGTCTTGAATGCGGAAAATGACGAAGATTTTTGGATTGTTGATTCGGGGGCCACTGATCATCTAACATATCATGGCGAGTGGTTCTCATATTTTGAACAATTTAAGACACCAGTCAAGGTCCACATTGGAAACAAGACATCGATGGATGCGTTGGGAAAAGGCGTCGTAGAAGTTAAAACTTTTGTTGATGGTAAAATTTTTGATTTTCGAATGTTAAATGTTCTCTTTGTTCCAGCTGCTCGTAGAAATCTATTCTCGAGGACAGCGGCTTTAGACAAAGGATACGAGTTCAAATCAAATCAAAAGGAGTTCTTTTTCGTCAGTGATGAAAAAGCAAAAGCTAAGGGTAGACGAGTTGGTCAGTTATTCACAATGATAATGAAGGTGAAAGTACCAGCGAATAGTTTATTACAATTAAGTAATACTAAAGAAACAAACGTGACTTCGAAATTGAAATCAATTCAAGAGTGGCATGAAATGCTCGGACATCAAAACAGAGTACAAGTTGAAAAAGTGTTAAACCGTAATGGAATCGAGTACACCAAGCAAGATTTTTTTTGTGAAGCATGTGTAAAAGGTAAGCAGCATCGTAAGGTTTTTCAAGTACGACAACAACGTGCTCAACGAGAAGGTGAAGTCATGAATGTTGATTTATGTGGTCCTATGGAAATCACTTCGTATGGAGGATCGAGATATTTTATCTGCTTTACATGCGATTACTCAAAATTCCGATTGATCAAATTTCTTAAGGAAAAATCAGAAACTACAAAAGGAATTGCTGAAGTCTTGAATTTTGTGAAAAATCAGTGCGGAAGACCACTAAAAATGTTGCGTTGCGACGGTGGACGAGAATTTAACAACAAAGATGTGACAACGTTGTTAAAATCTGAAGGAGTAATCCTCAGTGTCTCAAATCCATATACCAGCGAGCAGAATGGATGTGCAGAACGCTCTAATCGCACTGTAGTCGAACTTGCAAGAACAATGTTAGCGGCGAAAGATTTACCTAAAGGATTGTGGGCCGAAGCAGTCAACACTGCTGTTTATCTGCTGAACAGAACGGGGCCTAGTAATGAAAATGGTAAATCACCTCTTGAAATATTCACGGGCAAGTCTACACATTTAAACAAACTGCACGTTTTTGGTACTACATGTTTTGTACATAAGCCAAAGCAAGTACGAAAGAAGTGGGACCAGAAATGTCAAAAAGGTATTTTTGTTGGCTATTCTGATGAGATGGATGGTTTTCGTGTTTGGTTGAGTTCTACCAGGAAAATACTTCGTAGTAGAGATGTTGTATTTGAACCAGTAAATTGTACGGACCATTCTAATGAAGAGAAGAGCATATCAAAAATGATCACCTTTGACATTAACCATGACGAGAAGCCAAATTACGTAGCAGAATATCCAGGAGAGAACAGATTTGTTCGGGAAAAAGAAATAGAGCAGGTAGAAAATGAAAATATTGATGCTGAGAATGAATTGCAAGAATCGGAAGAAGATGGACAGAATCATGAAAATATTGATGTTGATGACAATGAATTAAATATTTTTTTATCGTATCATAGTTACAATAAATTGAATAGGTAACTATATTTATTTCAACAATCCGCACCTACCTACGCCGCTTCTGGCATCCTGGTACGCCGTGGATATGTTCAAGCTTCTTGTTTTCTTTCTTCGAAATGCTGCGAAAACCTTCGTCCGCAGCATGACGGTGGCTCGATCGATATGATTTTCGCTATTGGATTAATTTCAGTCTTCGGGATCCATTCAGAGGACTGATTGACTTAAAATTGCACCTCGCGCTTTGCGACAACGCGGCGCAGGTTCGCCCCATGTAACGCCGCTTAAAGCCTCCTGTCTCATTATTTGTCATTTAACTTTGGGTTGCGATAGACGTATTTAACTCGGATCTCTTTGTTCTTACCTTATTACAATGATCTGATTCATTTATCTCACCCTAAATATGCACACATAGTGCAGTATTTATTTATTTACTCTATTTGCATCTGAAATAGAATTGTATTTCTAAACCGCGATTTTTACTTTATATTTCCAGTTACCTTTTAGCTTCCTTAGAGCTCTTTTACACGGTGGTACTGTATGCGAAATACTGTATCTTTGTCATCAGAATTCCAGCCTTACGCAGTGAGGTACTTCGATTTTCAGTGCAGTGGCGGGCGGGTTTCTGTAAAGTCACACCACACCTGATAAAATTGACGTTGCAGAAGCCATTTTACTATACAATACATCAAAGGTGCGCTCCATTTTATGACTATTTTGTTTCTTCGGGCGGAGGTGACGAACAGCACTGACCGGTTGCTAATGAAAAGGTACCCTCCTGTAAAGAGTTCCATATGAACCAATAGCCCATCAGTTCCCTAAAGTCGTAAAATCTCCGGGCGACTGGACCTAGCGGGAAACCGAAATTTAGTCGCCGGTACTGTATGCGAGAAGTATGCGTGTGTGAACGGCTCCATAAGACGCAATGTTACAGATGTATCCGAGATACCAGTCTGCGGGTGACTGTATCAACGTGTCTTACGGTTAAATAAAAAACCGGGTTATACATAAATGAAATAATTGATTTCCTTACAATGCATAAACAAAAATTCACACACACAAGATTATAATTCCGTATCTATATAATTTAGATTGTGCATTTTTTCTACCCTATAAAATTCTCTGTACGTACGGAGGCTCGTTAGAGCTTTATTGGTGAGCCTGCGTAAATCTGGGTGGGATTTGGAGGAATGCGACAGATAAGGAGTCCAACGACGAACAAATCTACCCACGTTTCATTTTGTTTTCTCCAAACAACAGTTCACGTTATAAGGCAAATAGTAACAACAAATTTATGCAGTAGGAGGGAACCCTTTAAACGAATATACGGTTTTTTCAGATACCAAAAGTTGTTGTTGGGACATTACCACAACGCATATACGTAAATGCTACGCTGAAAAAATCGGTATGTATTTCCAAAAGGAGTTGAGTATCTAGTGATGAAGGATTATACTATGGTAACGTCTACGAACGCTAAAATAAAAATATGAACAAAGTTGCTTTTATATAAGGATACACTCCTCTATCTTCCCAATGGAAATAAAGGATCACAATCTTCATAGTCCATTTCAAAATAATGGATGAAACTAGCCTCCCATTCCTTAGCTTTACTATGTAAATGGTTATGCATTTCGACTAAAAGCACTTCAGACACACCACAATTCTGTTGAAAGCGACTACCGATAATGAATAACGAAAGGTGAGAACTGCCAACAAAAAATTCGAACGTCAATGTCAAATATTAAACAAAAACCTTTGGCATCGTTGATCGCAGCATATCCAGTTCTACAAAAGTTTACCTACCACAAGTCCATAGATCAACTTGTTCTGGGCACAAGTCTCTAATATTTTTCTCATTAAATATACCAAAAATTGGTGTTCTATTCTGTCAGTGACGTGCAAAGGAGTATTGAACAAAATGTGGCAGTACCTACCTCTGTTTGGCGTTATCATGTAGCTTATCACTACACGAACTGGGCTAGATTCAAAATAGTCTCTACCGATCTTTACAAACTCATACACAGCACAGGGTGTATTGAGTCAGCTGTCCCAAAAAAAAGACTGGTAAAAGCAGAGCTTCAGAAACTCCGAGCTGAAACGCCTAGCTTGTACAATAAATACAAGACGCAGGAGCAATGTGGGAAGAGATTGAGGTGATGCTTTCTAAAGGATCACGTCACCTTGTTGAGCAGACTAAGGCATATAGGCCCTTCACCCTCGGCTCATTCTTATTCGAAGGGATTGAAAAGGTTTTGGACTAATTCTTCAAAAGCGCGCGCTTTTTTTTATAAGCCAAGGGTTGTGAGAGAGACAGGAGTCTGACCAAGTGTCACTTTCGAATGTTTTTATAATTAACTGCACTGCTGATCACCATCAAACCTATAGCAATTAACAAGATATCGTCTGAAATGAACAATTAGAAGTCGGCACTGGAAAAATTTTTTATTATGGCAATTGATTTTATTTGACCCACGGCTAGCCCAGTAATAAAAATGTTTTTAAATCCCACACCTTACGGAGGTTTGGTCTCTTATCTCGTCTTACAATCTGAAATCCAATTTAATTTGATTGAACTCTAATAAATACACATGTGATCGATCAAGTTCAATTTTTCTGGCCAAGTTATTGGACTTAGAACATCGGTGTGGTTCATTAAAATAAATACAAAATGCAAACGTGATCACGTGTATTGACATTGGCTAAATTTGATACTTATCTAAAATTTATCTTCACCACATAATAAATTAATGGTAAATTTTCCTGTTCAAAATATACACATACCGCTCAATGCTAAACAAACCTTTAACCCAACTAAAGGAATGGTTTCACTAAAATTAAATGCAATATTTTCCCCATCAATGAAGCAAAATAACCAAAATCCTTTGTTTGGATTTAATTGTTATCAATAAAAACAATACAAAATCTATTTCATGGAAGTGGTAATGATTAATCGATTCCTATAGGAATATTAAAATTACTTCAAACAAAATTAATATGCAAATTCTTAAAATTAATCGATTCTCTATCAAAAGCACATAATAAAATCGTTCCAGCTAAAGCTGTCGCGATTTTATCGCACTTTTGATCTCTAGTTTTTTCCGCTGCGACAAAACTTTCCTGTAAAAATAAAATTATTCGATTAAAAATCAAGCTGTTGTGTATTTACCCCCGGTTGCTAACGTTGCTAACCATTAATGAGCTTCATTGCTACACCCGTAACTAAGGAGCACGCTAAGGAGTAATTCATGTTGTTATAAAGAGGTCGACGAAAAACACATTTATTTGATTGATTATCTTTTAAAAAAAGCATCAGCTTAAACGTAAATTCTTTACCTCACTATTTGCTCCCCATATGCGAAAATATTTATGTTTATTTTCAAATTTTTAAACAATGAGAAACTTGGGCAATACTGGAGCCTGTATTGGTGAACAAAGAAGTTTTACGATACAAATAGTAATGTTCTAATTTTACATCCCACGTGTAGGTACCTATCTATTTACCAGAGTCTTAATAAACAGTAAAGCAATGAAGGTTAATCTATTATGTCTGAAACTCCTTTAACGTAACCAAGGAGATGATAATCGTTCAAACTAAACTATTGACAGTTGTGAGCAGTATTGTAATAGTAAATTGCACCGGTAAATTTCGAAGTGAACATAAAACTAATTGAGTAGAACATGAAAGGTGTTAAATAGTATATTAAGACACAAGTGTATAATCAAGTTTTTAAAGCACGCGCAACGAGTTTAAGGGCACGACGCAAAGCGTAGTGCCTTTAACGTTGCAAGTACTTTAAAGACCAAGTATACACGTGTATCTTATAGTATTTTTTATTATACCTGCAGTATAATTTAAAAATAGGAAATACAATGAAATCATATTGACGTTGTACTCGAATACATGTCTAATTAAGTGGGCGGATGTTCGTAATTTCACGATTGCCATGGAAATGTCACTTGACTTTGCTCATAAAAATCATCGTCTTTGTGAATTAAAGTAGTTAGAGCGCGTTCGGCTGAAGTCAAGTGATGTACTCGGCCTACCTATTACTTACGGTAAACGTCCCCAAAAAAATGTTATGAAGGAAACATAATTAGAAATACGGTATGAGTGGTATTTTATACCTCAGCACAATGCAAACGTCTTACATGATTTTTAAAAAGGTATATACAGTAGTCAACTTGACTAGTCTCCCTACTTTTCGACCCTGTTTCAAACCTTTGCACACTAAATGTTGACGACACACCGCGACTAAATATTCACAGTTAAGCGGTAAATCCTAAACGAATGTATTTCTTTTTAATCAAAACGTATGCGAGACGTATGTAAAAGCCGGGAAACTAAATAATTTGGCGTTTTACGTGAAGTCGGTGTAGTGGATTTGGTTTTTCGATGTTGGCGCCAGAGATCCCCAGCCGCTATCTTGATTTCGATCCGATCAGTGTGTCAACAAGACGTGTGCAGGCCTTGATAAATATCGCTGGTTTTGGTGTTCTTTCTGAAAGACACCATGCCTTTTGTGAAGAAAAGTGCTCAGCAGAAGAAGGAAAAGATTGTCCTAGCTCAGCTATATACTAGACCTAGTGGAAAAGTCATCAGATTTAAACGCGTGTTGCATAGCGTGCCGCCGCGTCAGAGCAGACGCCGCTTCGGCGGTAAATATCTTCCTTATTTCATCATGAACATGTACTTTTCCGTGCAAATTTAGATTCGTCACAAAATTTCGCTTCTAATGAGACCCATCTCATTTAAGTCTTGATACAAAAACCTTCTCTAGCTCAGAAAAACTGAGTCTGTCCATAAGAGCCCATGTTAAAATACCCTGTCTTTACTGTCAAATATCTCAGAAACGGCACATAGGAACACTTTTTTCTTTTGACCATTGGAAAGTGCGTCTCTCAGAGAATAAGTGACCAAATTTTCACCAACTTCTTGTTACTTTTACCTAGGCGCTCTAACTACTTTAAACGATTTCCGTTGAAAAAGATAATACACCGTCCATTAAATCGATTGTTGTAAAATTTAAAAACAAACGTTGGTAGGTGTAAAATCCAAATCCAGTAAAGCCTATTATAAAGAATATGAAAAGTTGTTTCCATGGATGGAATAGGAAGTTAACTCACCAGTAGCAAGGGATCACTCCCTCCGCGCGTACCACCAGGTATGATGTGGAAGGCAAAAACCCTCGATTGAGGTACCTACAAAACCACACGGGCTGGCATTGTCCCAATAATCACTTCAGAGGAACATTCCCCCACCGAGGTGCTTCACTCAATCTCTTGCAATTGTATAGAATGCAGGGCGACTGCCACATTCCAAAACACAGTAGATACGTATGTGTTATTTTTTAACTTTGGAGTAAACTATTGAAAACTTTGGCCACATGCATATCTAATATGTTAGGACCCTTATATTCCGTGAAAATGGGAAATGTGCCTATAGTGGGTAGAATTTAGAAAAATGCTAACTTTGGGAATTTTCTCCGTAGTTGTCGAAAAGCAGGACTTAAATGTCCGACAATCTGCGGGAATTGTAAATCCCAGACGACCCCCAACGCTCCATTTGAGGAAGAAGTATTCACCAGCACCCCTCATCCATTGGAGAAAGAAGAGGAGGGACTCAGTAAGGAATTGATGGGGGGGAGATGGAAGACAATCCAGAAGATGATGAGGTTGGGCAAGATGATGTCCAACCACATCAAAGAGGCCGAGAAAGTTTTAACATTTATTAGGACATTCCAAAATGTTTTTGGAATTTATCATATAAGTATGGTTAAAATGGTCAAATTTTCAAATTTGAGCATTCTTTGAACTCGCCATTGAATTTTTTACGACTTTGACTACAAGAATCTTTTAATAGGACTGCTTAATACTCATGGAGCCACTAGTAGAGAATAACACTTTGTTCTTCAAGGGCCCATTTGATTGAGGTCCGTGTGTAACGCTTAGAATTGAAGAACCGGTCTACCATAGAATGCCCTCTTTCCATTCTTTGGGCAGATATATTGTGCCAAGAGTTCTCAGAACAAAGAGGTCTTTGCTAACATTCGAAAGTGAGATACCTATTTCTGAGATGGTCTTTGCCAGGGACTTGGCATTTGTTAGAAAGCACATAATACTTATTGATATTGTAACGTGATTTATAAATTCGGGTTCGATTTATATCAATATTTATTAAACAAAACTAAAACACTATAAAAACCGTACAATTTATATCGATTATTTATATCACACACACTTCGCAATTTATATTTCCGCGCTCGATGTTTCGTCCGTACTCGTTCGGTAGTAGACTGCCGCGATGTTCGGTGCGCAACCATTTATACACGCAAGCAATGTAAGTCTAGTACATTCTCGAATAATCGCGCGCGTAGAAAATTCCAGAGCGCCAAAGGCGACGTCATGTCTGGAGCATTTCCGTTACACTGCCCCCTTCTTAATTCTGGACGTCTCGTTCAGAAACTGCGTTAGTATTACTTTTTAATGCCTCGTGTCGGAATCTGCAGTCAGAGCCTGCTCGACAAACACCTTTCTTGAAAAAGTAACAGTCCACAGTTGTGCGGAGGGTCGTCCCCTGTGGGTTGAAGCAGCATACTGTAATTCGAACGCTAGTGTTTCTAAAAATCACTTCGATCATGGTTCGCACTATCTTCCAGTCCAACCCATCTAAACCACATCCAATCTTCGGAATCGCCAAGCTATTTATGTCATAGTATGCCATGAGTTTCTTTAAGTTTTTTAAAGCAGACCAGAGGTTTTCATAGGTGGGTTTGCCTTCTGACGTTTTCTTTGAAACCAAGTAGAACAAAGAGCGTTGACTATCTTCCAAGCGCAGTACTTTACCCACTCGTGGTCTTTGCTTTATCAACTCGTCTATTCTTCCAAATCTTTTCCGGAATACGGAAGCTATACCTTTACCCATGCGAAGGTCTTCGGCGACACAATGGGCGATGGAAACGTTAACCGGAAGCTCAAAAATATTTTGATAAATTTCCTGAGTAACGCCAAATCGAGCTTTCTTCCGCTGGGCGTAATTTGACATAAAATCGTTAAAGTTTGGCTCGATCCCAAAGCTGCGTTCCTCTTCTCGAATCCCTCTAACTTCTTCGTTGTTGTTGGATCCGGCATATCGTGCGAGTCGATTAATGTGGACAACTTTCGGTTTCCGGTGGTTCATTCTGATACGATATATCACGTCATTTATTTTCTTGATCACCTCATATGGACCTTCCCATTGTCTTTGTAGCTTGGGAGAAAGACCCCTTCGTCTCTGTGGATTGTGCAGCCATACCAGATCTCCAGCTTCAAAAGTTTCATTGACCGAGCGGAGGTTGTATTGATTTTTCATGCGATCGCTGGCAATCTGAATATGACTTCTAGCCAAGTCGTGAATATCGTTCATCTTCGTCTTTAGTTGGTCAACATAATTTTCACCTGCGACATATTCTTCATGGGGTTTACGCCCAAACTCGAGGTCACATGGAAGGCGTAGTTCACGACCCAACATAAGGCAGGCAGGAGTCTGACCCGTGGTCTCGTTGACGGCTGATCGATATGCCATAAGGAACAGGTGGAGGTACTGGTCCCAATTTTTCTGATGTTCTGCCACGACTTTTGAAAGATATTTACCCATCGTTCGATTCATTCTCTTCACCATTCCATCTGACTGAGGATGCAAAGGTGTTGTTCTGGTTTTATTGGCTCCTACCAATCGACAAACATCTTGGAACAAAGCCGAT